TGGTGCGCAGTCAGGGGAGTATTTAGGGGGGGGGGGGAGGTGATAAGGGCGTTAGAACACCCTCCCCCCCATCAACCTTATTTTATGATATTTCACCGAACTGTAAACTTACCTCGATCGTCTGAATAAACGGTGTATACAACTTGTAGGTTTTAAATAATATGCTGTCTTAACGTAATCGTTTTCATCTATATAAACGCATGGAATTTATTTATGTAATACGGGGGAGGGGGCGGAGGCGCTGTACGAATGTTCAAATTTACATATTATGCCGCGGCGAATGACATTGCGAAATAATGTTGCGTGAAACGCTGAGACGACGGGTCCTCTCAGAAGTACGTGACGTATCGGTGTGTATCAGCAAAGTATGATAAAACATTTATTTCCATTTGTCGGTCGACCGAATAGCGGGTCCGGTCAAATCGTACTGTTTCAAATCGTTTCGACCGTCGACTGAACATGGATAAAACCGATTGGCGATGACTGAAACGAATCGGCTTGTCCCCTGTACCACATCACCCACGTCCAAAGTGTTTTATGTCGTCCGTTGCGATCTACGGTTAATCGCACGACTACCAGTTTTCGTGCCATAATTTGCTTAGAGTTGTCAAAACATTTGTCACATCTTGATTAGACCGCAGTCGGTAACTCAGAATTTTCAACTTGTACTGATTTTTGTATGCAGAGAAATCGTTACAAGCACTAAAAACTGTGCATTATCATCAACGAATAACACAAGCTACCTTTTGTAAAACTTCTTCGGTGACGAGCTCGAGTCAGGGGCGGATCTAGGGGGGTTTCAGGGGGTCAGTTGACCCACAGTTAATATTTGTTGACAAAATTGGCCTCTTAGAAATTTTTATCTCTTTTTAGACCTTGATTTGGACTCCTGGACAGTTGGCCCCCATCGGAGTTACTCAAAAAATGAATGTCATATATATTCAAAATTTAAAATTTTTCAATTCATAATTCATATTTTAAATTATATCGTTTTAGTAGAAAATTAAGTAAATCATATTTTATAATGTTTCGTACGTTTATTGCACTGATAAAATTAGATTATATTTATTAATCGTAAATAAGCCATTATTCGGTGGTATCACTAATTTTAAAATGTAATATAAATATACTTATACACTTTTATGAGCATATTGTGTTTTTTTTTTTTACAAGGCACCTAATCATTTTTAATTCAGTTTCATCCCTAATAAATGGCCTCTTGAAATGGCTTGACCCACAGTTCCCCCGACTCTGGATCCGCCCCTGACTCGAGTCACACCGTAATCCATACGCTAAGTCGTGATTAAAAATATAATCATTGCAATACATTTGTAATAAATACTGCGTTGTGATAATTACGTTGATTTTCGTTGTTGTTTCTTGTGTCGCCTGTACGGCATTTCTCTCGTTTCGATTCCGAACACGACGTCGTAAAACGATTGAAATCGATTAATATTTTTAAATCGAAACCATCGCAGCAGTGCTACTGTAAACTGAATTGTACATTTCGATAACATTACGTCACTTTCAGTGGGATGTGACGTATTAACTGATTGAAAATGCTAATCGATAGTGCACAAATAATACATAATGAAATAATAAAAGATTCAATTTAAATTAATAATTCATCGTCAAGTAGGTACAAAGTCAATAAAATCGCAACTCATAAGCATACCTGACGAAGAATTTTTTAACTCGAGAACCGGTCGTACTTTACAATTATAATAATACTCCAGGCTAAGCATTTATTTATTTATTTATTTTAAAAAATTATTCGTTTATTTATTCGTAAAAAAATTAGGGATGGGCATAAAATCCGAAGATTTGAATTTTCCGAATATTCAGGTATTCGAATCCGGATCGCATTCTTAACCGGAATATTCGACTTCATGGATTCGCTATTTATGTGACCTACAATTATTTTTAATTTCTAATGAAATAAATTATTTTATTTCATTGTAATTAAAATTTTACAACAAATTAATGTTATGTAATACTTACATACAGTGATATCATGATAGAATATCAAATTGACTTAATTTTATTGTATAACCTTAATTAAATTTATAAAATAATTATAAAAATATAAAAATGAGTCATTGAACAGCAGAACGTAATTGAATAATCCGGATAATCCGGTTAATTCATGAAATCAAGATTTTCAAAGCCTGCGGATTTGACAAATCTAAATAATATATTTTCGCACATTACAAGTAAAAATCAATCAAGAAAACCAGGGTTTATGTTATTATGGTGTAACGGTGCTGTCTGCGATTAATAAACATGTACGCGTTTGTAAATGTTTGCATACGATGTGCGAGGACTTGTGATGGACATACAAAGCGAATTATTATCTATTACGCCACTGTTCTAGAAAGCCAAATAATATTATTTAGTATTGTATTGATATTATATTTTTTTTCCCTTTCTTGTAAAATATGTACATGAATTTCTACCGGTTTAAACGTTACGCACGTTTACAACTACTATATTTTTACGAAATATCTCGTTTTTTTTTTAACGTGTTTATCGTTTCATTTTAAAGTCAATACGTATATTAGTAATTAATATTTGAATTGGAGATATAACTGTATTGGAATGCGATGTTCATATTATTGGGTAACAGTCTAATCAATTTCGTATATTTTTATCAAATTGAAAGTAAATAAATTTCATCTGCTGTTTACATTTCACATTCAAAGTAATGTAAAAAAAAAAAACTAGAGAGCGAATTGTTTTACACATATTTTATTTTTCAAAATTTGCTATCCATAATGTTTCAATCAATGAAATAAAATGTCCCTAAGTTAATTACTGATAACACATTAATGCAAGAAACATGAATTGTTTTTCTTTCAAATCGAACACACATTTGTGTTTATTTAATAACAAGTTGTGACACGTGTAGGTAAACCATTGCAGCACTGTATAAGCGTTGAAAGAGTACAAAGAGTTTTTGCGCATTGCTTTAAATGACTAACAAAACATGAGTTGAAAGTAAAAGCATCTACTATTTAGAAAAATGTTAATTCACGAATTATAACGAGTAAAATGTACATTAACAGTGATTTGACGTATAGAGTTTTGGAGAAAAATATAAAATATAAGATGTACTAATTATGAGTATGAAGATATAGTATGCAAACAAATGTAGAACGTAACACCGTGGGATTAGTACTAATAACATATTGATAACAATTATCTGCAGAAAACCACTAAGTATAATCAACAATAAAGTAATTTGTAATATTTCGTATTGTTAATATTATACTCGTATTGAAAAAAAAAACGCATCGAAGTGTTATTTACTCGATTACAAATCAAATTCGTTGTATTTCCGCTAATGCCAATATTCCAATTCTGTGATCATACACAGTAGGCGATTGTTTTACGGTGGTTAATTTTATAGTTTGCCTTTCTGCCGCGGTAGACATACACATATGGCGTTGATATAATGAGAGGAAAAAAACAAAACATTTCAAAACTTTTTCGTTTTAGCCCTCCCACAAGGTATTAATAATGATACGGGTCGATAGCAATAAAACAGTTTTTAGTGAACTGTTCAGAATTCTATTTAATGGTTTTGTGACAAAATGTCTGAAAGACAAATTAATTTCGACTGGTGCTTAGATGTCACCAGATTAACCGTAGACAGACCTTTGGTTAAAAGTTGGAACCCATCTAGTGATCGTTTCAATCGTGTGTTTCAAAGTAAATCGACCTTTTCTCGATTAACATACAGCCTTTCACTTGTAAACAGATGTTGTTCATCGCCAGCTAATCGATAAAGACGCGGAAGTCCGCTTGAGATCAAAGGCAATATTTAACTTTAAACCCGTGCTCCTCTCGTTAAATGTCTTCTGTACATATGTAAATAGGATTTCGTAAATATTGTTCTGATCACCGTCTTGCACTATCACGCACATCTCACGTTCGTAATAGTTTTGGAATAACATAGAATTGGATAACATTTACGCGTCACGTAACGTAAACGTAAGTCGCAGCGGTTTGCTGAACACCGTCCGATGTTTGATGTCTAAAAATGATCGATCGAATGCAATAAATACAAAACTAGGGCAGTACTAGTAGTAGTATAATTTGGACAGTTCTGACCAGTGCCGCAACTAGAATTTTTGAGCCCTAGGACAAAAGATTATTTAGGGGCCACTATCTAGCATCACTGCACCAGGGTTAAAATAGTGAACACATTTATTGGAGTCAGATAAAATTCAACAAACAAACATAATCTTTATTAAAAAGTATTTCATACATGTAAAACATACTTTTTAGTAAAGAACAACACTTTTTAATATCCATCATATTAATTTATTATAAATAAAAACACATGAACAAATAAGTTCATTATAATAGAATAAAGTTATACAATTTATAAAAATAATATGATGTTAATATTTTAAACAAATTTCATCTTTCTTGCTTTCAAATTAGAGAAATCTTTAATTAATTTGTCTGTTTTTAATTCTGAAGTCCGCTTTTGTTCTATATTGAGTATAGCAATGTTTGAAAGTCGATTTTGGCTACAAGAATTTCTTAAATAATTTTTTATAATTTTTAATTTCGAGAATGACCTTTCAGCCGTTGCTACTGTAACTGGCAGTGTTAAAAATATTGTACAAGCTACTAAGATTTCCGAGTAACTTGTTGCTATATCATTGGTAAGTATAAAATTGACCATTTCATTTATAGTTTTTAAATTTTTATTTTTTATTAATTCTTTTAATGATAAAATCTGACCAATAAAATTAGAACTAATGTCATCTTTATACATTTGAATAAAATCATATGACTCCTTTACAATATTATCTTCTCTTAAACATAAGAGATTATTTGGATTAAGAAAATCAAATGTAGTACATACATTGTCCATTGCTTTAAAACGAATATTAAGTTGCATTAAAACAGTATCTATAATAGGATAAAATACTTTAATTTTAAAGTTTTCTGTTGTTATAGTTAACCGCCTATCTCCATCGACTTCATCAAAATGTTTTTTTTGCATATATCTGACGAGGTTCAGTATATGTAACAGGTAATCTCCATCTCAAACACAATGACTTGGCATTATTTACTATATCTTCATAATTATTTCTCAATTCATTTATTAAATAATAAACATCTTTTAATCTGTCTCGTGCATTTTGTAGATTCATATCTCGTTGTAACATTTTTGAAACACCATGAAGTGGTCGTAATATGTTTTCCCAAACACTCAACATCAACACAAATTGAAAAGATTCCATTTTTTTTTGTAAAGATTGAGCTTCACTTCGTTCGTCAGACTTCTTACTGATTAAACTTATGTTAATCAATGACTTAAGTACATCAATATATCGTTGTTTAAGAGCTGAGACTGATTCGTGTCTGGCTTCCCACCGAGTTGGACATATTTTTTTCAATACTTTCTTTCTAATTTTGCAAGCAAAGTCTTCACTGAAAGCTAACGTGGCCCACCGAGGAGCGCTAGAACTAAAAAAGTTAAAAATAGCTTGAACAGTGGCAAAGAAATGATTTGCTACTTGAGTGCTTTTGGCTGCATCAGAAATCACCAAATTCAAATTATGTGCGCAGCAATGAACAAATGGTGCATTTGGTGCCACTGACATGATACGTTTTTGGACTCCACTATTACTGCCACTCATAACAGATGCACCATCGTATCCTTGTCCACGACAGTTTTTCACGTTTAGATCATAAGATTCCAAAATACTAAACAACCGATTTTCATAGTCAGCAGCACCATGTTTTTTTAATTCAAAAAAACCTAAAAAAGATTCTTTTATTTCAATAGATTTTTTATGGAATCAATCACTACATAACGTAATACAACACTTAATTGATCTTTTTTTTTAATGTCTAAAGTAGAATCCATTATAATAGAAAACAATTTTGAATCTTTTATTTCTTTACATAATAAACGGCGAAGTTCAACAGCTAATAAATCTATAATTTCGTTTTGAATTTTCCAACTTAAATATTTTGTTTTTAGACTCTTATTATTTAACAATTCATATAAAATTGGATCAAATTCAGACATCAGTTTGACAGTTCTTATAAAATTACCTTCACTATTGGATTTATTTTTTCCACTACCTTCGTTTCCCCTGAGTGCTGTATTACCTTCAGTCAAGTACAAAATTATTTTGATTATTCGGGTTAGTACATTTTTCCAAAAATCTGCTTCTTAGGAAATTTGTTCTTCCGTATGTCTATTTATAGTTTTATTCTCTGACCAATGAAGTCGAACACTACTGGCATAAATATGTGTTTGGGATTTTTCATGATCATTAATTTTGTCATTCATGTGATGCCAGTCATTTATCCCTACAATCCAATTGTTTTTGAATCCTTTTTGGTTTCTGTTTGCAAACAACCAACACGTCTCACAATACACACGGTTTAATAAAATAGAATAACAAAGCCATAATCGAGGAATTTGTAAACCTGATTTTGTTGTCATATTGTAATAACTGGCTGAAAATTTTCTTAAAACTCCACTACCATCTGGTGAGTAAGGAAAGTTAATAATAGGTCTGCATGGACCATAACTCATTATACTGTATTTCATATCACTGCTTATAATATCTTCAAAATGTCCACGGTCAGTAGGATATTCAGTTGAAAAATCTAATCCTAAAAAATTATTAGTTTATTTATCATATTCTGAGGATAGTGGATTTGTATCTAAATGCATATTTTTATAAGTGTAGGGGAGGCCCGGAACAATTGTAACATTTTTCATAAAATTGCTTATATCTGCAAGAATTTTAAGTATTTTTTATTTATTTTACTTTTAATATTTAAAACAAGTTGTTACCTTTATAAATATGTAAGTATTAAACCCAAAATTTTTAAAGTTTTTACATAAATGAAGAATAAAAAAAAAAAGTTGTTACAATTGTACCCCGAAGAGGGACAATTGTAACAGAGCTAGGGACAAATGTAACATATTTATATTTTTACTTTTTTATTATTATAAAACTATTATAATTACCTTTAAATAATATGAAATATATCTTTGGTAACATTATGGTTTAGTAACATAATTGTTGACTTTTTTTATAGCTCTTATAGCATAACTAGGTATATATAACAAACATGAAAATGACTTTTTTTAATTTAAAATTTAAATAAAAACATAACATAATATCATTAAATAAAATGAAATATAACATTATAACTTAGTTTACATAATGGTTTAAAACATAATTGTTGACTTTTTTATAGCTTTTATAACATAACTAGGTAGGTAGGCACAGACCTATACCTAAACCCATTGGCGTACGCAGGGGTAGGGTTATAGGGTTTTAACCCCCCCCGAAATTTCTTTCTCATCTTAGAGCAAAAAAGACATATGCAATTTGGGAAAATTAAAAATTTAAA